TGTTCTGCTTCTTTTAGCTAGCATTCTGCCTCTTTGAACCTTTAGCTAATTTTCTGCTTCCTTTATCTTTAGCTCAACGTTGTGCTTATTTTAGCTAGCATTCAGTTTCCTTTAAGTAGCGTTCAGCATTATGGTTATTATTGCTTTTAGCTTTTAAGTTTGGCCACTTTTAACTTTACATTTGGCTGCTATTAGCTTTATCGACCCAGTTTCAGCGTATCATCAAATTTCTGCAGGTATTCAGCGTTTTCAAATTAACGTCTTTAGTTTTTCCTAAACGTTCGTGACTTCAGTTCAGTTGCATCACGATCCGTAAATAAAAATAACGTTCCGACGTTTCCAGCTCATTTTAAAGCAGAACAAAAAATTTCAAGGTTTATTTTCTTGCTGGCAACGTAAAGAGGACGCGTCGTCCTCGTCTCTGTCCAAGCACAAACACGAACAGAAATAAAAGCTGAGAATTAAAGTCGACGAGACAAACCAGTAAATTCCCTAATTGGAGTTTTAAACGAGCCAGTGGCCACATCAGCGCCTGAGAGTCCAACATTCGATCTCTTCGGAGAAAACACTCCACATGCAGCCGAGGTAACCGCAGCTTAACGTGTTCAAACAAACACGGGTCGACACGGATGATGTCTGTCAGGCGTGCACGGACACACGAGACCGCTGACCCGACATCTGTCCCTATAGACAAGAGACAGAACGGTCTCACTGACTGGACTGAGGGTAGTTTAATGGTTAGAGAAGGTGAGCTTGTGACTGGACGGTGGCCGGTTCGATCCTCTGGACCAACATCAAAATGTGGGAGGGAAAGGTGAAACATCTGCCTCAACTTTGGGCCCTTGAGCAAGGCACTTAACCCCCAACATCTGCTCTCCTGGGCACACTAGATGGCAGCTCTGCTCCACACCGAGAGCTGTGGTAGCTCGATGGTCTGTGTCCAGGAAGGACATCCGGCGTAAAAACAAACGTCTTTGCGTGAGCTACTTTGTTGTGGCGACCTCCGAGGACGGGAGCAGCCGAAGGAAAGAATAATTAAGCTAAAAAAAAAAAGCAGATTTTAAGCTGCAGATTCACTCAGTTCTGATTATTGCGACCCGAATGGCCACGCAGAGCATCTATTTAAAAAAATAAATAAAAATCTTGCCCTATGCATGTTTGAGCGCAAACATTATTTTGACGTCCAACTCGGCGTCTAGAATTCATTCTTGGAGATTTGTCGTCCTTTCGATTTGGGGATCGTTTTACGCCGAGTGCCCGTCCTGAGGCAACGCAGCCTCGAGCTACCGCGACTCCAGTTTGGCTCTTCCTGTGATGCACACGAGGAAACTGATCACCCCCGCAGACGACTCCCTCCTGTTCACCAGATACCCGAGGTCCTGGGAGGTTCCTCCTGAAGCTTCGTGGTAGTCGTATCGTAGCCGCTCCATTTGCTCACTCGTAACAAACAGGAAGTGACCTAAACCAGTGCTCGTCTAAAGAGCAAACGGACGAGGCGTGAAGTGAACGCATCGTTTCCTCTGGACATTTGAAACGTCTCTGGAGCAGATGGCTCGGTCCATTTGCCGCCGAACGGCCGCTCAAGCAGGCGCGACGCCTTTCAGGGTTTCCTGGAAACGAGGCGACGGGTCACAAACACAAAGATCCTCGGCCCGTATCCGTCAAGTTAGATTCTCCGTTTGCATCTACCCTGGAACCATCCACCTCCTTGTTGTTGTTAGTTTACAGCTGAACCTTTTAGAGTTCTGACCCTTTTGGAGCAAACAAACACAACTGAACTCTGATCGGCGGTTCACTCTTTGAGTTTGAACTGTATTAAACCGAAACTCTGACCTGCTTTTACTTTAAAATCCTGTTTTACAACCGCCGTATCACCGAGTCCTTCCTGTTTCCCTTAATAATGGGTTTTATTTGGCCAAGCCTGATTAGAAATTAATCTAAATTATAATAATGTAGACTCAACTGTGAGGGCTCTTGTTGTTAATAACTTGTGATAAATGAAACAGCATCGCTACAGCTACTGATTAGATGAAAAACCAAAGCAGAAAGTTGAGGTTTTATCTCCAAGTTGAACATGAGTCAGTTTTTAGGATATCATGAAACAAAATCACCATGCAAGGATTAATGCAGGAAGAGTTTGCACGAAATTTTATAAAGAAATTAACTAATAAAAACAGCTTACAGAACCGTGAACGCGTTTTTATTCCATTTTAATTAATAGTTATGCTTGAATTTCGGCAGCTTTATTTTTGAGCTCTGCTTCAGGACGGTTTTTAAGATTATTCTCAGAAAAACATATTTTGTTTGTGAAGCTGCCCAACGCTGAACTTTAAAAAAAAATGTTTATAGAAAATACCAAAAAATAGGATTTTTACCTCCGAAGAGTGATTCACTTTAACGTTCTTGAGTGCTTTTGTGCTAAAATGTCACCTTTATACACTTTAAATCTGGAAACAAGCGGCCAGATTCAGGACAAGAAACGTATCAAACATCTAAAAATCACATTTTCAAGAAAAATCTACACTCAAGACTAATTACATACTGCACAAAAAAATTAAAGATGTATAAACTGTTGACATTTATTGGTAATTTTACGTGTTTTAATGAAGAAAATTAGAATTTCTTGTGTTGTGGGAGAAATAAATGGTATTTATTTACCATTTAAAATGTTTTATTTTTTCTTCATTTTCAGAAAATATTTCATTTCACAGTTTGTTAACCATTTATTTTGGACTCAACTGAGTTGCTCCTAATAAAAGGCATAAATAGATTTAAATTTTATAATGTTTTCATCAATTAATTTCTTTTTGCCTTATTTCAATCATATGTGCGCAAAACTGACCTTTGTAACATATTTGCCTAAAAGATGTTTAATGTTCTGGTAAATTTAGGAGACACACAATGCTGTTAATTACCAGCTCAGTCCAATCAACCTGTCCAAAAAGTAATAATTATTTCACATATATGTACAAAATGACTAAATTCAACCAAACCAAAATATGGTTATAAATATAAATAACTACAGGCAGGCATCATTTACTGCACGTTTTCGGTTAAAAGGCTGGAAATGAAAGTCGAAATAGCTGAAGTTTAAACTGAAAGATCTTCTGATCCGCTGAGCAACACATCCAGGTGAAGGTGTTTGTTTACATTGAGCGCAGACCCGCATTTCAGATTTTAACGTCAAGGTGTGCGGAAAACTACAGGAGTTAACCTGCTGGGACAACCTGTGGGTTAATTCAGGAGGACCTGAGTGCTGTTTGGTTTCAGGGTGTGCTTGGAGGCCCTCCAGCCTCTCCTCCTGTGGAGGTCACAGCAAGAACACTCAAAGCAGGTCCACATGGCCCGATTCAGGGTCCAATTACTGAGGCTTCAGTCCTAAGGATTAAAGCTCACGTGGTTTTAAAGCTCCAAGAGCGCGTTTTATCACCTTTAAGTGTTTATAAATACTAATTAAGCCGCTTTATTTCGGTTATTTCATGAAAAGGACTAACGTTCACGGTTAACATTTACTGCCGGTGCATTACCGCGCTTCAGGCGGTGGAGAGCGCCGCATCCGCCCGCCTGCGTCACGAGACCCTCTAAGAACCTACTTGTCGTTTCCATCGTCTCCATCCTTCTTCAGCTGCTCCTCCAGCTCCACGGAGGAGGCGCCCTCCGTCTTCACGCAGTAGAAGCGGATCGGCGCCACGGACAGGCGGGAGGGTCCAGGTCTGGCATCAGCGGCCGGGACAGAAACGAAGCAGCAGCTGCGTTGAGGCGGCGGCAGGGCCGGGGACCAGCTCTTCTGACTATAGGCGGGAAACGGGCGCTTCAGGGGGGCTTCGAACAACTCCTTCAGGACTGTGGAAACCCTAAAATGTAACATCTCAATCCTGTTGCGCGGTGTGAGAAAAACGTGCGTCTCCAAACGAGTCCGGATGTAAGAGCAGGGTGAGAAACTGTTTCTGCTTCCAGGGGCGATGAGTCACAGGGACGCCGGTGTCCAAAAATAAATACGGGCGCCTAGCCCCGCCCATCTGCGTTCCTATTGGTGGAAAAACTTCTTCAGCTGCAACCGTAGCCGCGCCTGCGCGTTGCTTCCCCCTGCTGGTTAGTTTGAGAACTACTTCTTAGATGTTATCAACTGAAGTTGTTTACTTTCCATTCCAGCAGGGCCACTTTAACCATCTATATAGGTTTATAAACCGCTTCCTGTTTTGTATAAACAAAAATATGACTAAATACCTAAGTATATTTTATCTATGTTCAGCATAATTCAAAAGTCCTGATATTTTTCTTGATTAATATTTAAACAGATTTTTTTCAAGGTTTTTAAAAAATGTTTTATTATTTGCTATGGCTGCTTTTTCCTCTCATTGTTAATAATTTACTTAAAAACTAATACATTAATTAATTAATTATTTTAAATCATGTACAACAGATACTTGTTTTTCATTTTTCAAACTCTAATGATGAACAAACTGGTTAACTGTGATTACTGATTATACCCAATAAATCCACAAATAAAATACAATAATTTACTGATAAGTTAGACTTTGTGCCAATAAATTAGTCGGTTTCTACTGATATTTATTTCAGGCCTGCGTGTGTTTTTTTTAAAGAACTAATGTCAAATATTCCACCCATCCATTGTCTTTGCCTGCTTCTTCCTTTTTGGGTCGAGGGATGGGGGTGGGGGGTGGGGGTCACTAGAACAGTACCCATATCCAGCTATCGCTGTGCAAAATGTAGTGGACACCCTGGACAAGTTGCAAGTCTATCTCAGGGCCACATAGAGACAAATGAGACAAACAACCATTCACACTCTCACTCATTCCTAGGGACAATTAAAGTTATCAATCAGCCTAACATGCATGTTTTTGGTCTGTGGGTGGAAACTGGAGTACCTGGAGAAAACCACGCATGCACGGAGAGAACATGCAAACTCCACCCAGAAAGGTCCTGGGCTTGGTTTTGAACCAGCTACCTTCTTGCTGAGAAGCAACAGCTCTACCAACTAAGCCACCGTGCCACCACATGTATATATGGATTCTTTACCTTCTTGTTGGATAATGATTAAACCTTAATTGATCCCTACTTTGATTTGATCAGGTCATCATAAAAAAAAACAAAAAACAAGTGCTTTGACAGTTTGTTAGTACTTGTACTACTAATAATATACTAGTACTAATAGTACAAGTAGCCCTATTGTAGAAGTAATGCTTGTACCCAAATATAACATAACCACTATAGAAAAACAACTATTTATACTAGTACTGATATTGGTACTTTAAGTATTATTATGAGTATAGCATTACTACTATTACTATTAGTACTAGTCTAGTGGTAGTACTAATAGTACTAGTAGTGGTATTTCTCTAAACATACTTGTAGTTCTATGCATAGTACAAGCAATAATAGAACTTGTTCTAATAGTAATTTTACTATTCTAGTAGTTCGACTAATACTAATAGTAGTACTTGTAGGGTATTAGTATTATTACTAATGAAAAGAATTGAAAAGTGTCATAGTGATGTCAGGTCAGTAGTAATATACTAGTGGTATTAGTTTACTAGTACAAAAACTGGTGCTGTTACTATATTCGTACTAGTAGTACTAGTATTATGCCTACATACTTCAATTCCAACTGTTTAAATACAGTACAGCTTAGAAAAAATACACTTCATGTTATCTAACTTGTATGTTTTAACCCTGAGCATTGTCTTTCAGGCATTTCGTCTCCCTTCAGACTGGACCAGGCTGCCTGACAGACTTAACTCAGGGCGGAGAGCGTAACTGCGGAGTCAGAGAGAAGTTGCCACGAAGGCAGCAGTACACACAGATCAGGACGATGTGGACGTTTCTGAGATGCACTTTGTGCCTCTTCATCGCCTCTCAGCTCGGATTCGGGTCCGTTTGGACCGCGTCAGATGAGCTGGACCGAGAGGTGAAGATAGAAGTTCTGTTCAAGCCCGAGGAGTGCAGCAAAAAGAGCAAGAAAGGAGATCTGATCAACGCTCACTACGACGGGTACCTGGCCAAGGATGGCTCCCAGTTTTACTGCAGGTTGGTGGTTTTAAAAGCTGCTTTAATGGTTCCGGTCGCATGAGGGTTAATATGCATGTTGCACGTGTGCACACAGTTCGTAAAAAAATTAAAATGTTGTCTTTAATTTTACACGTAAGGACATAAAGTGTAAACCCAGATAATCAGACATATGTCTCAGTTTAGTTAACATAAACTACATTAAAATGTAACAAGAACAGCATCAAGTTCTGCTGCTCTGGAGTGCACAACGCCAAGATGGAAAGACATCAGCAATGACCTTAGAGAATAGCTGCCCATCAATCTGAGAAGGGTCAAAGGTCATTTCCAGACTATCTGGAGTCCATCGTTGTACAGAGAGAACTATTATTTACATGTGGAAAACATTTTAGACAGCTACGAGTCTTCACAGCCGATTCACCCCGAAGGTCAGACTGTGTAGTGCTCAGAGAAAGGACTCTAGGCCTCAGTTCACAGGTTAAAAGTCAAAGGTTGTAGTTTGTTTGTACCATCTTCTCGCTTAAAACAACATGGCAGCACGACTTGGGTTTATAGTTTTATATTTTACCCATAATGCACTGCAGCAAGCAGCTCATAGCAGCTGTAAGTATGATGTTTTAATAAGCCCCGCCCAGATCCATAAGGCCTTAGGACTGGTTTAAGTTTTACTGACTTTTTTACACCGACTTCACACAAAATTCACCAGAAACGCTCGGTATCTGAAGCAGAATCCGTTGGTTCAGACTGACGGGACGTTTTGGACCTTCTCTGTTGCAGTCGGACGGACAAAGCGGGCCACCCGCAGTGGTTCGTGTTGGGCGTGGGACAAGTCATCAGAGGCCTGGACATCGGGATGCTGGACATGTGTCCCGGCGAGAAAAGGAAGGTCACGGTCCCGTCGGAGCTGGCGTTCGGCGTGAACGGCAAAGGTGGATGAGCGCAGGACGTACTCCTACCGCAGGCAGAAACGACGCACCGATGTTTTCTTTTTATCCTCCTGTCTTGTTTTACAGCTCTTATTTTGAAAGGACGTGTGGTCCGTGGCAGAGTTTCCTTCCTGTGAGCATGCTGAGGTTTCAAGTCTTTTCTTCTCTGCATGCACACTAAACTAACAGCTGCCTGCCCTCCTTTGGTTCCTCCTGACCTGCTGAAGTCTCCTACAGAACCTGTCGACTGCAGGCTGAGGTTCTAGCTGCACGGTGATGCAATGTTCTGTTGGTTCTGGGTTGTTTTTAACAAAACGTCTGTAAATTTTAAAAGTTTGTGACGTGCCCTGGTGTTAATACATGTTTATTTTTCCTCTCGTCCTCTGGCCGGAGAAGGTCCGGTGCCACCGAACGCCACCGTGGTGTTTGAGGTGGAGATTCTGTCCGTGTCCCGGGGACCCCGCAGCATGGAGGCATTTGGACATATGGACCTCGACAAGGACAAGAGTCTCACGAAGACTGAGGTAACCATGGTTACGGGTTTTTACTTACAACCCAAAAGTAGGAAATGTTTTTTTTATTCTGACTCGGATGATAAGAACCCAGAATATTTCTCATTTTGGGTCTTCAACTAAGGTCTCCCTGTGGTTCTGACCCGTCTCTGTAAGTCTGTCCCACTTTGCGACGTTTAAGTTCCGTCTCCAAACACTTGAAAGACGTCCCGACGCTGCGGAGGTGATGAAGTTTCAGGTCGTCCTCGTTTAAACGTGTCTTCAGGTGTCCAACGGTTCGGGGACAAGTCAGGACTGCAGGCGGACCGGTCCAGAACTTATCCCCTCCTCTTCCTCAGCCTTTATGGCGAAGAATGCTCAGATAACCCACCAAAAGATGGGGTCCTTGAAGGCAGCAGATGTTACAGATCTGAGCCCAGACCATCACAGGACCAAACCTTTAAACCTCTCTTTTTTTGTACATCCAGAGAGCCCCAGAACCAGATGGTACCACCACCGTGCCTGACAGTGGGTTCAGTGACTTTAGAGGTACTGGTTGTTGTGGACGTTGACTTGGAGCCGTTTGTGTGTTTTTCAGGTGAAAGAATACCTGAAGCTGGAGTACGAGAAGGGCGGGAAGCCCCGCGACGACCCGTTCTACGAGAAGATCATCGCCGACATTTTCCACAAGAGCGACACGGACAGAGACGGACTGATCAGCTCCAAGGAGTACAATATTTATGAACGCGACGAGCTTTAGTTTAGCGTTTAGTATTTTTATATAAAATGGATGAAACCAAAGAGATCAATGACAAATTTAGAATTTTTTTTTTTTTATGTGAAAACCACTGTGATGGTCGGTGTTCTCGGAGTAACGGCATCAATCCTGTTCATTAACGTGTGTGTACATAAGTAGTGTGACCTTTGACCTTTACTGTAACGTTCAGGGTTTGAAGAGGAGACTGCAGAGGTCAACGGAATAAAGTGCGTGAAACCGCAACGTTTCTCCAATTCATGACTAAATAAACTGCTAACCTAACCTTTCTTCTCAAAAAGCATTTTCAGGACAAATGACGATCTTAGAAATGAAGTTTTGATATATATGGTAATAAAACTTTAATTTATTCAGGAGCGAATTAAATCATCTGCAGTCGTTTTAACCTCAAATTCAAACTAGGGAAAAACAACTTTCTGTAAATGACAACAAACAGTTAATGTGAGGACAATTTTGCTTTTTGTCGGAGTTTAAACAGTTTTAAAGAAAAAAATATGCACAACAAAAGAATCTAATTAAACTTTGAATTTAAAGCATCTGTAGTGAGGGTAGGGAGCAGGTGGTTTGCTCTGCCTTTTAGAAAGGAGTCAGATGGTTCAGGTTTCTCCAACCAGCGGCTCTCGGGCCACGTGTGGCTCTTTAGCAGCTGCTTCATGTCCAATTCTTTAGCAGATATGAGCGACAACGAGCGAAACGTGCCGATCAGATCGTGCTATTAGCCTGTTAGCTGATTAGCCTGTTAGCTGATTAGCCTGTTAGCTGATTAGCCTGTTAGCTGCTGCTTTAATGCAACCTCCGGGCCTACGGAGGGAACGTTTTCTGAAAAAATACCAGAAAAACTCAACTTTTTTGAAAACCTTTAAGAAAACTTGAGAATTAAAATAGAAAGCACTTTTTTTTTCCTAACACACCATTACAAGTCGTTAAATTTAAAGGTTTTACAAATCTACAGTGTGCCAGTTTGATAATTAGAAGTAAAAGTTGTTTAAAATCTTAATGAAAATTAGATCTGTAAATCACAAATAAATATACAACAAACTGGTCTTATTTTTATTTGACCTATATGGGATAATTATTTTATATAAATAAAGGCTGCAGTGTTTTAATTTTATCAAAGGGGAGTAAAAGCTACATATTTTCCCAGAATATCGTCATTTTATTTGTCCAAAAAGTAAAATTACAAATACGAACAGTATATTTTGTAAGTGTATATTTATATTTTAGAATGAAACAAGTTTTTTTAAAATGCAGAATGTATAAAAAGTTGTTTGAACCTTTTTGCGCTGGAGTTTGCGCCCACACTGTCCAGGATAGGCCCAAAAGCAAACTGGAAGTGGCCCGCGGGCCAGCACTTGATGAGCACAGCTCTGTCCTGTGGTTCTGGACACGTGAGTGAAGGGTCAGAAATGTCTTTGGGTTTTAAAAGTTGCAGAACCCTGATCTGGAGCTTTCCCACTGGGAGGAGACCCCAAGAAAGACCAAAAACCTGTTAGAAGGATTTAAGTATGCATCCTCTGGTCTGAGATCCCCTCGGGAACTGGAGGTCTGGGTTTCCACTCCTGGACTTGTTTTCTCTACAGCTCCACCCCAGATAAGCAGAAAAAAAAAAAAGATCATAAACAACTGTAAAGTTCTCAATGTTAAGTAGCAAAAATGCTTTAAAAACTACATTTTTGAGTCTTTACAGCAACAAACGTCATATTTATTGAAATCCTCTAAAAATAAAATGCTATTCAACTCAAATCACTTTATTCACCGTGGAGAAACTTGAATCAGTCACTGCACTGTTACAAATATTAATGTAAAAACACTCTAAAAAGCTCAAACTCCACATGGAGGTGGGATCCTGTTTCCCTTGGGGGCTCGGCCCGACTGAGCCCAGGAGCTTGACCACCAGGTGATCGGCCCTGGTTCCTCTTTAACAGGTGAATTTTCCTGATGAAGTTGTTGATCCATCAAGGATTTACCTTCAGGTTTTGTTCCTGAGTGATGGGAGGATGGAGTCACAGACTGGAGCCTCGTCCTTAGTAATGAGGGTGTTGCTTCAGTCAATCAAGGTGAAGAAAGAGTTGAGTCAAAGACAAAAGCACATATCAACACTCAAGTGGCATTACAGTGATTATTCTGGTTAGAGATTCATGAGTCTAACAGCCTCAGGGTAGAAGCTGTTCCTCAGTCTAGTGGTTCTACACTTAATGCTCCTTAACCTCCTTCCTGAGGGGAGCGGGGCAAAAAGTGTGTGTGCTGGGTGAGCGGGGTCCTTCATGATGCAGGTGACCCTCTTCCTGCATCTGGAGGTGTAGATGTCTGTGATGGTGGGGAGGTTGACTCCAACATCTTCTGTGCAGCCTTCACCACTCTCTGTAAAGCTTTTCTTTCTGCAGCTGTGCAGCCTCCATGCCACACGTTGATGCTGCAGCACAGGATGCTCTCCACTGCACACCTGTAGAAGGAGGTGAGGACTGAGCTTCACAGACCAGCTCGCCTCAGCCGCCTCAGGGGGTAGAGTCTCTGACAGGCTGGTGGTGTTGTTGCCCCAGCTGAGGTTGTCATTAAGGTGCACACCCAAGTCCTTGCTTGGTGATGTAAAGTGATGTGAAATAGCTTTTGACTTTGAGGAAAAGTGTTCTCTTAATTTGGACTAAGCTTAAAAGAAGTCCGTAAAATTTATCTGAGGTTCATGAACTAAGAGAAAGTCTAAAAATCAAGCTGGCACTGTGGAGACGGTCTTGTCAAAAGGTTTTATCCTGGCAGGAGTTGCAGATTTGCTCATTACCCAGGTGGATACGATGCAGAACGGTGGCCGGTGGTTTAGGCTGTCCCGGGAGGGGATGGTTCACTCAGGGACCGGGGTCGGCCTGCAAGACAATCACCCTGGGACTGCATTGCTCCAAGGTTTTTGAGCTTTTTGGTTTGCGTGGACTCACACTTCACAGCAACCCACTCAAGACGAAGACGATAGACGTCTTCAAAGAACCATGTTGAGGCTGCTGTTTAATATACCGTATTGTTTTACAATATCTTTTTTTTTTTTAACTATAAGGCGCACCAGCTTATAAAGCACATTAAGTGAAACTAAAACATTTTGACAGATTTTTGAGTGCCGTCTACCAAATAAAATCGGTTCAAGGTCAGTAAGCACAACCAGAATTAATACATAAAGTGAACCGGATTATATGGCTCATTGTTGATTTTTGAGAAAATGTAAAGATTTTAATTGTGCCTTATAGTCTGAAAAATATGGTATTGTGTTTATTTTTGGGTGTAACTGGGACCCTGTGTACACAATATTGTTCCACCCCATGTACCACATGATGCGAATAATAATAAAGAACCTTGACCTTTAAATTAAGTCTGAACCTCTAGTTTCTAACCACTTAAAATAACTCAATCTGATACATTCAGATCAAAAATACCTTTATTAATAAATACAGGTGTAAAAACTCACATATTTACACAGATTCTAGTCCGACTGATCAAACTCCAGCTGACTCAGATCTTGATCCTGATTGGTGGTAATCTGATGGCGGCTGCTCTCACCTCCTCTGTGATATCGACACCCAGCGGTGCCCTGCATTAAAAAAAAAATCTTTCACCTGCAGATTAAAAACACCAAACCGGCCTTGTCTCTGTTGGGATTTAAAAAAAAACTCACTTCGGCTCATAGAAGACGTCCACGTTTGGAGGCAGAATCCCTTTTCCTTCCCTCAGACGCTCCACGCCGTTCCTGTTTGGGAGAACAAAAAGGTGCATCTGGGATTAAATAATCTAACTAACCTTGAATCAGATTTAAAGCCTCCGAGGGGCGTGGCTACCATGCGATCATCACTCCGTTGTCGGTGCAGAGATTGGCAGGAGGACAACGCAGACGGAGTCCGGTCGACTCGGCGGTGAAGGTCAGAACCTCCCGGATGTGCTCGTTACTCGCGACTCCTCCAGACAGAACCTGGAAAAGTTTTACAGCTTAATCTGCGTCTGCAGCTGCAAATCAGAAAGACTACAGAAAAGATGGCGGATGCAAATATACAAATGGAGACGTTCTAAGATTTAAGTTGACTTCTGTTTCTTTGCAGGTGGTGAAAATCTTAAATATTTTACTTCTTGACTCAAAATCGTAACCTCGAGTCTCTGAGGAGTCACGTAAAGCCAAAGGCTTCAAAGCTGCAGCTCTGGGGACACATTTGGTTCGTTGGCTCCTCTGCAACGGCTCTTTGGAGCTTCAACCAAACAACAAATTAACGAGTTCACCCAGATCCGCAGCAGGAAGAGCAAATTGAAGCAGTTCAGCCCGGTTTTATGCAGCACGTGAATAAAATCTCTAACAGAATTTCAGTCAGTAGTTTATTTGTTGGCCAGTTCCATCACTTCCATTTTAACTTCAAGCCTCTTTTCTTTGAAATCCTCACAGATTTGACATTTTTAATCACATTTACAGCAAACAGGCTGCCATACACGTGGCAGAAAATGTATGAAAACTCATGTTTGGCTGATTATTTCTCTGTTATAACAACGATTCTAAGAAATAAATCTTACACCGTTGGAAATTCTGTTTATTTTCTTTTAAAGGAGCCACATTTGTTAGAAAAATGCACCTTTGGTTTGAGCAACTTAAGACAACCAATGAAAAAACTTGCCAAAATTCTCATCCTCCTGATGACTCTTGCATGGTGTCATTTATTAGATTGGATGTTTAGAGTCATAAGAAAAAAAGAAATTTTGGCAATTTAATGGTGTACTCATAAAACAATAGGAGCCTCAATAGCATGCGGAAGAACCATACACAGCGACAGCAGCCTGGCTCCTCCTCCTCACCAGCTTAGACTGTAGGAAGGACGTTCCGTCCTCTCCAGTCCCAAAGTCTGGAAGTGGACTTTGATAAACCTTACTCTGTGGGGGGGGGGGTCAACGTTTGGTCCAGGGGTACCAGAAGGTCAAAGGTCAGCAGTAGAATGAGCTTCTTGGTGTTAGCATTTCTCAAGTGCAATTCAAATATGTTTTCCTGACAAATGTGTCACCATTTAAGTGGGAAATAAACAGGTTTTCTACTGATTTATTGTCTGGAAACATTGTCACAACAAAGAAAAAAAATCAACCAAACAAGTTTTTGTTTTACTTTTCGTAGTACCGGTATATTTGTGTTCATGTTGAATTAAAACGAACGCACTCACCAAGGTGGGATCATCTGATGGCAACAGGCTGTTCGCTTTACAGAAAAGGATGGCTCGATAGGTGCGGTTCGCAAGATGAGAGGCTACAGTGTGCTGCGTGGCAGCAGCGATGTCCTTCACACATGACAGCAGAGTTCCTTCTTCCACACCTACAACACCAGGTAAACTCAGTAGTTCATCAACGTTAGTTGCAGCTGATATTCAGGGAAACTTCCATACCCTCCTCAGTCTCCATTTTCTTTATCGTTCTAATAATCTGAGTCTTAAGTCCAGCGAAGGAAAAGCAGCAGTCGTAAATATGTCCCATAGGTGTTCGGAGATTAAACCTCTTCCTGTCTCCGTCCTTCGCCAGAAGCTCTATAGCTTGACCTCCACTCAGTGAGGAGCACTGAGGGTGTTTGATCAGGGACAGACGTCGGGCCACCTGTGAACTCACACAGAATTGTTTTTGTTTAGGATCATTAAATCACAACCTGAAAAAAAAAAGGGGCAAGAGAAACCAACTTTATCTAGTAAATCTCCAGGTGAGTCGTCCAACGTGCGACCCAAAAGCAGAAAGTCGTCGACCCCCCGAGCCACAGCGAGGAGCGAGTGTCCCCCGGAGACGAGCAGCACCAGGAAAGGGAAGGAGATGGGCCAGAGCATCCTGACGGTCAGAGCGTGGGCCTCCATGTGGTGGATGGGGATGAACGGCTTGTTGTGTTGCCTCACGAACCTCCGGCTGAACTCCAGGCCAACGCTCAAACTCGGGGCCAAACCTGGCTTCACGGTGGTGGCCACAGCAGAGAGCTGGCCTGGGCTCACACCACTTCTCTCTAAGGCCTCCTGAACCACACGCTCAATGTTTTCTCTGTGGAGCTGCTGTGCCACCAGAGGGATGATGCCACCGGTCCTGCAGCAGCCAAAAGGGAGACAAACAAAAAGAATGACAGCTTTTATTTAAATATAGTTTTACATGCCAGCTCCAACCAGCAGCTCTCCACCATTGTGTGTGGCAGTTGGTGCGAGGTGTAACTGTGCATTAAGGGTAAATGTCTCTACTTTGGTCTTGAAGTCTTGTGGTTCCTTCAGGTTAAACTTCCCAAGCACAAGTTGCACGCTGCCATATTGTTTTCAAAGAGAAGATTTGTTCTCTCTAAATACAAAACAGTGCTTCCACTTGGAATCTGCACCAGACTGACAAATATATTTCTGTTCTGCTCTGCAGAATCCTTTCTTAAGCTGTCACGTTGCTTCGTTAAGTCACCTGGTCTTATAAATGGGGTGCCTCAGGTTAAAATAATAAAATAAACAATATAACTACTTTGTCATCCAGGCAAAATTATGGTCAACTGTTGAGCCTTGTTCTAACTGTCCTGTCATGACCTTTAAACTGCTTACTGAGGCCTGTAGGAATGGAGCTCATGTCTCTAAGCATTACACGGTCTGACCTTTGGGGTGAATTCATTGCCACTCTGGGGAAGAAAAAAAAAAAAGATTGGCAGCTATCAAGTGTTTTCCACTTTTATCCGTACAATAATAAAGTCACTTTGGAAATGGCCGTGTTTGCTTGTTTATCCCGAACCAGCAGCAGAGGGCTCACCTCAGATGGGCTTCTTTCTGGGAATGCAGGGATTCTCCCAGTGTAACACCCGTTTCGTCCATAACAGCAGCCCCGGTCTCATCACAGCTCGTCTCGAGGCCTAAAACGAGTCTGGAACACGATACCTTACCGAACACCGTGTGTTTGCTTCGCAGCAGCCTTTGCAGGATTTTTACATTGGTTCGTAACATTATTGTATCATGAATTACCTCATTTTATGCCAAATGGACTAATATAATGCGGACACGAGCTAACCTCAGGAGAGAGTGACGTTCCTAGCCGGACACTTTATGAGGTTACACATTCGTGGCAGCAGGCGGACTCTGATAAAGTGCTCATTTAATCGAAAAGATAGATGTCCACGGAGGTAAATTTACTTAGTTATTTTTATTATCAGCTATAAATATATGTATATATAAATCTTATGTTAGCGGTGATGTTGTATCTATGACGTTATTAGCCACAAATATTTAAGAATTAGTCGTTTCCGTTTGGTTAGCTCAGCCGTGTTACCTTCAGGAAATGTCGTACATTTTGACGACACCGCGACTTTCTTATAAGCATTTACGACAAACAACTTTTAATTTAAATAAACTAACCAGTAACTCATTTTATATGTTGTTAAATGTCACATACCGTTTGTTTGGCGCCTTTATTTATATATTTTTTAATAATTTTACGGGTACAGATTGTCATCTAAAGAGTTTTACAGAGTATCTTAAATCGGCTTAGGCCTTTTCAGCACATAAACACTTGTCTGGCTCAATTTAACCTTAAGATTTATAATTAAATGGCAGATTAACTAATCATTTTAAGTCTTATCAGAGTAAGCTATAAAACAAAAATAGATTCACACATTATATATTTTTCCAAAAAGATCTTTCTAAATGAACATGTTCTTGCACAAGGTAGTTTTTAAGATAGGTTTTTATTGTTGCTTGCTGAGTGACCTATAACTCTGACCTATTTAAACATAATTAGGCAACTAATAAAACATTGTGTCAACACATAAATTACCAATATGGCACAGTTTTTGTTTGACCCTAGATATTTTTCCATCAACAAGGTGATAGTCAAAAACTTACAATTGATTGTACTGTACCAGAAAACAGTTGATTCAATCAAATAAAAGGGAATATGTGGTGTTTTCGTGACAGTCTGCTGGGAACAAAGTGCCTAAAGGTCCCATTTAAACTTTTAAGTGATTTGTTATATGTAATTTATGTATTTTGTACGCTTGGTTTTTAATTAGAATTTCATGTTAACTTTTCTAAAGGAGACATGGAACACCCTGCTTGTGTTTTGGAGGAACTAAAGCAGTTTGTTGTTAAAGACGCTTCACAAACGGCGTATTACATCCCAGATTTTATATCAGAGGAAGAGGAGTCCTACCTTCTGCAGGAGGTCTACAAGTCTCCTAAAACTAAATGGACTCAGCTGTCGGGTAGAAGGCTTCAGAACTGGGGAGGGTCGCCACATCCCAAAGGCATGTTGGTGGAGAAGATTCCCGACTGGCTCCGGTCGTACTGCGAGAAAATCTCCTCTCTCGGTGCGTTCAGTGGGAAAACCGCCAACCACGTGTTGGTGAACGAGTACAAACAAGGTGAGGGGATAATGCCCCATGAAGACGGTTTGCTGTACCATCCCACTGTTACCACTATCAGCCTGGGCTCCCACACCCTGCTGGACTTCTACAGACCTGTCAGCGGCCAGGACGGGGAGGCACCGCAGACCGAGGAGAACCGATACCTGTTCTCGCTGCTGGTGAGGCCTCGCAGTCTCCTGATCCTGCAGGATGAGATGTACCGGAGCCTCCTGCATGGTATTCAGGGACAGGATCGGGACTTGCTAACAGACCGGGTGGTAAACGTGTCTGCTGCCGGGGCCCAACCCGGAGAGACGCTGACCCGAGGAACGAGGGTGTCCCTCACCATCAGACACGTCCCCAAAGTTATAAAGACAAAGCTCGTACTGGGAAGGAAATAACTGTTTCAGCATGGCTTCACTGCTTCAGGACCTGATTTGTAGTTCAGATACGACAACACTGAACCACCTCTTTGAAGCGTTAGTTCAATTTTCTTAAAATTTGAGGGTCTTAATTTGTTGTAGATGGCTCCATCAATTATAGCGTGGAGAAATATTTTAATTTAGACCAAACTGCCGTGCTGGTGGTTAGTCCACGTAGAGAGTGGGTTGCTGTCATCTTAATACAGTCGTTTCATAAAAAGACATGGCTCGCTCCTGTTGTCATTTGCATTCATAAATTTAGAAACAACTGACAAATTAAAGGTTTATAAAATAATGTTTATAACTGCTTTGAAACTTTGGAGTGGTTTTAAAATAAAATCCACTTTGGTCTTGTCCTCACCGGCTTGTCAGTGCATTCATAAATAAATAATTTCTCCAAATTGGGACTGTTTGAGGAGCAATTTACATTAAGTAAGATGATACTTAACCTTTCCACAAAACCTCACTTCAAAGGATCTCAAGTGACTCGATCTGTGCTGCATGAACTAACTGGATGACTCGAACTGCGGTGGCTGTTCTAGTTATTATTATTTGATTATTATTAATAAAGATGATCAATTTTAACTAGATGAAAAGATAATATTTCTAACTAAATTCTAGTTTGTGTAGAGCTCAATATATTGATGTTTGGAAACACTTGTATGAATCATCAGCAGTAAAAGTTTCACAGTTTGTAAAATGATTGCTATAAATTATGAACAAATAAATAAATATAACTGCAATAGCACTTTCCCAAATAGTTCTAGCTCAGATTTATAGTTTTTGGTTTTTTTGAATTGATCTAACAAGTATATGACGAAAACAAAGTTAATAAAACAGCATGTTTGCAGCCATGTTGTTAAAAATGTTTGATGTTTTGCAAATATTGCTGAAGCACGGACTTTCTTCAATAAAGCAAATTTATTTTGGTCTTCTCGTTTGTGACTTTGCGGAGTTACTTGAGCAGAACTGGGTCAGTCTGAATGAAGCAGTGGTCCCAAACTTTATTTCATCACAGACCGGTTTCACACAAGACAAACTTCATACAGAATAGTGAGAAATTCTGCAAAGTTCTTTTTTTCTTTTACATAATTTAGCTAGAATTAGTTTGCAGGTTTGCTGGGGTTAGGGTATTTATTTTAATTTTGTAGCCAGGAAACAAATTCTTCATGGACCAGAACCAATCCTTAGCCCAGTAGTTGGAGACCCCTGGTATAAAGGACACGTAATTAGCCGATTTTAAAGTTTGTTTTACATCTATAGACAACAATCGGCACATAATTTATCTCCCACAGGCAGCTGTACAAGTCCTTGTGTGTTCCTTTGTCAGCAAAATATTTCTTGAACCAGTGGACAGATTTTATTGAAACTTTTAAGAAAGTACGTACATCTACAACTGATTTAACGTTTGGTGTCAATTCAAGCTTGCCACCACAGAAAATCAACCTTAGTAAATGTAAATGGCTCTAATTCAGTCAGTTTTGCAGCTATTTAGCTCAAATTTGATGAGGTAGTAGCCGATAGTCATCCTCAATGAACACTTTAAGCTCGAACAGATTGCACAAGTTTAAATCTGCATTTTTAAATCTTTTATTATAAATTGTCCGTCCGCTCATAGGACCAGCGTCGCTTCATTTTACTAAGGTTTGCAGGAAGTAACCAGCATGGTGTCCCAACACGACTGAAAGCTTTTCTCATCGTGTCCTCTGTCCTGCCGACAGGAAGACACGGAAACAATGGAGCCTCAGAAGAAACGCTGGAAATGCTCCGCGTGCGACTCGGACTCCTGGGTCGCCTATCCCGTTCTGTCAGATGAGCAGTCACGAGACGTGGAGCTGGTCGATGCGTTCGCCGCCCCGATCGTCAACAAGAAGGAGACGTCTCGGCTCATCCGGGAGCTGAGCGACCTCTACCCGCTGAACGGACTTCAGCACATCAAGAGGGTACGAGCCTGTAAGGACAAAGGCAGCCCCCATCCTCTGGAAGTCCTGGTGTGCCTGGTCAGGGATGTGGTCAGCGTCGACTCGCTCCTACTTGGAGGTGGAGTCAAATGGGACGGACTAGGTGAGCCCTTTGTGGTTAAGATCCCAGCACGGCCCCCGCTGACCCGACCTCAGTTTGAACTGGCGAGCCAGCGTTGGCCCACATCCTTTCATGAGGACAAACAGGTGACGGTCGCCCTGCGAGGGGAGCTCTTCAGCCCCCAGCAGAAGGCCACCATGCACAGGTTCATGTTGTCCGCGGTGACCGCTGCTGAAGCTGCTCGGCAGCTGGGGATGGAGGCAGTCGGGGCCGTCGTCGTCGACCCCGAGAAGGAGCAGATCGTAGCGGTCGGCCATGACTGCAGAGGCGACCACCCCCTTCATCATGCGGTCATGGTCTGCGTCGACCTCGTGGCTCGAAGTCAGGGAGGGGGATCTCATTGTTTTGACAGTTACACGAACTGTAGGTATACGTCACTAAAGGACCTGTCCGGTCCAGATGTGGGCCCTCAGCCGTACATCTGCACCGGGTACGACCTGTACGTCACCAGGGAACCTTGCGTCATGTGCGCCATGGCGCTGGTGCACTCCAGGATCGGACGGGTTTTCTACGGGGCCGCTTCTGCCGATGGAGCGTTGGGGACTAAATTTAAAATCCACTCTCAGAGAGACCTGAACCATCGGTTTGAAGTGTTCAGAGGGGTCCTGAGCAGGCAGTGCGAGGGTCTGTACGGTTCGGAAGAACCCAGGACCAAAGTTTAGAAGGAAATAAACATGAGATTTAACAGAGTACACGAGAAACTTTATATTTTTCTATAAAAATATTTTATGTTGCATGGTGTATGTTCCTTTAAAAAATATTTTTATGACTGAACGGTCCTCAGAACGACGGATAGATCAGAACTGTGGCTGCACAATTAGCAAGGTCTTTTCAACAAGTGGCTCATGGGCCAGACATGGCCTGTTTTTATTTCACTCTCTGAAAGCTGCCAGAACCCCAGACCCATTTGTCTGAAGAGAAATGTCAAACTGCAAAGTGGGGTAAACGTGCACACCTATAGGCACCTGTGCATGTCTGTAAAGGGCTGTGGCTTTGTTAAAGTCAAAATAATGAAAGATGTAGAAATTTTGGAAAGAACTTAAAAGTATTTTTATTTTCGATGCGTATTAATAACGTCATTGCAGTCAATTTGGTCAATCTAGGAAATAAACTTCCTTTAAATCCAAGTTTTCTAACAGGTCAGATTATTCATTACCTTAACACACTTAGAATTTTCCTTAAAATCATATGAACTTATTTCTCCAGTGTGCTAGGAAATCCCTTCATATAAATACATAGTATTTAACAAGCATTTTGTTGCCAGGCAAGGTTTTAAAGCTCCAAAATTCAGCAAGTCATTTTGAAACTTTTGAGAATTTACAAACAAAAGAAAAAAGCCTAACTGTCGCTCGTTTTGTCAACAACGCTTTTGTGTTTTCTAAGTTCAGTTGGCTGAGGCGGCCATCTTGAATTGGGCTGGCTTCAATCAGATGTGGATGTTCATCGTTTTACCAGAAGTTTCATTAAAATCCATCCGGTGTTTTTTGCTGAAATAATTTTACTTTCTGTAATTAATGGCAACGTTAGAAACCGCCTGCAATCTGTTGGTGCTCAGAATGTGTGTTTGGGATCAGTCTCAGCTACCACCAAGGCTGCAAAATTCAATATATTATTTACAGCTGCGTCACCTGAATAAAAACAGGCTTTTTAGTTAATTATTTTGTTATTCTGATGGGAGAGTCTTAACCAAAAGTTTTTTATATAGAATAAAAGTTTCGAAATTAAGGAATTGAAGCGTAGATCTGAAACAGAAGGATCTAGCAGACACGTTTTATTAAAGGTTAGGAACAAAAAAAATAAAAATGAAACCTTCAGCTAACCAAAGCAGGACTCGCTGCTCCGATTAAAGCAAAAAGTCGTCTAAAGAGTAGCTACATGTTTATTTTTCCCCTCACAGATGCTGTAAACCTCCCTCAGTAATTTCTTATCTACACAGAAAAAAAAAATTTAAACAAATGCTGAACAAAGACAACAAGCCTGCACCGTTCTCAGAAATCATGAAGCAAAAAAAAAATAAAAGAACCATTCCATCACCTAAAACTAAATGATAGTGGACCAAAACACAGTAAACATGGCGAAAAATACTTAAGAGCATCCTTTGTGGCTACAATACTTACAATCTGTCACCGTGTGACGGAGGGGGAAAGTAAAAAAAAAACTAAATTAAAGTGAACCAGAAGCCTGTCCGCAGCCTGGGCCAGCCCAGGTCAATGCAGGCCCAAAATACACAATTAAATACTCGCATAAGTTAGTAACGCACACGGCATTAACAAACGCCTCCCGTTTTTCTGTCATTCCTGATCCCGACGGCAGTCTTCGCTCAGACCGCGGGATTTAGTACACGGACGACACGATTACGCTCCTGACGCCAAGAGGCACGGCTTGGACAAGAACTCAATACTTGTTGATGCCCAGGATCCTCACTCCGTGCAGCTGCGGCAGCTTGGGGATCAGGACGCTCAGGAGCGAGGCCGTGTTGATCACGAAGTGGGTCGTGTCGTATTTCGTGTAGAAACTGGCGAGGAAGTATCTGCGGGAGAGAAACAGCCGAGCTGAGCATGATCCAAAAAAAAAAAAAAAACCACTTTCACGGGCTTTGTTGAGATGCTGCAGAGAGAACTTACAGGATGATGGGCGAAATGGTGAAGAACTTCCTGGAAGAGGTGAACTGCACGCCGTAATCGAGCTGCTCCCAGTGAGTAAGAAGTCTGGCTTTTCCCTGGTCCGGGGTCTCAAAAGGCGTTCCTTTTACCGCATGCATGAAAACGTACATCCCCTGCAGCCGAACAACAAAAATAACTAAACAAGGCAAGTGTAACGTTCATTAACTAGAATGTTTTTAGTTTTTTTTTTAAACAAAGTAAAACAGTTTCAGTAAGATTTAAAAAAAAGACCCATTTGTAAAGAGTTAATCAGAGTTATTGACAAATGAAAGGAGCGTTTAACTACAGCTCGGTCAAAAGTGGAACGAGTTTCTGCTCGAACTGGCAGAGAATCAGTAATTAAAACTAATGTTCTCAAAGCTGAATATTAAACTATTTTAAACACGTACGGAGTTTTATTTTGAAATTAATTGGAAGCAGACGCCGAGACCCCCGAGAGACGATTGTGTAACTGATCGATACGGCTCAAAGTACCTGAAAACAGCAGAGTTCTCAGGACATGAGGTCATTTCACTGTGTACTGGCCATTTAAAAAAAAAAAGTATTTATTTTTAAAATCAAGTTTATTTTCATGTGCACGGCTCGCAAAATGGTTTAAAAAGTCCCACATCTAATCGTGTAAATTTTAAACCTTTAAAAATGTGAGCCGAGTCCAAATCTTCCATTTTTAGGACATAAAAGATCACTTGCATCTAAACTTTATAAATTTGTTCACTCGTCGTTTCTTCCGACATTTTTCCTGGCGTTCAACCACTCTGAGGATTTCAGATAAAACTACAACTCCCATCATGCAACAGTCCTGCCTGAAGAATGTGACATTCAGTGTTTTGAGCAAAAGAATCTGGTCACTTCACCCTTGAAAATGGTTTGTTTTATTTATTTTTTGTACACTTAAACTTAAAACCTTTAAAATTTAACTGAAATTAGTAGAAACCCCGTCTTGTACGTTATTTTGTTGCGCACCTCACCTGTCCCCAAGTGTAAGATCTAATCTGCTAGAGTACACTTTGGAAATGAAAATGGGCAGACAATAATGGACACTGACCGATTTTTTGATAATTAAGTGAAGCGCAAGTGTATGGGGAGTGGTGGCGCAGAGGTTAAACAAGGTGAGCCTGTGATAGGAAGGTCAACGGTTCGACTCCCCGGACTGACATCAAAATGTGAGTGGTAAACGTGACACACCCACACCCGTCTCCACCCTCATTACCCCACTTTATGACCTTGAGCAAGATCCTTAACCTCCACCATCTGCTTCCCTGGGTGCCCTAGACGGCAGCTTTCTGCTCCACACACAGGGCTGTGGTAGCTCGGTGGGCTGTGGTTGAACCAGGAAAGGCATTCGGTGTAAAAACAATTGCCAAGTCTTCATGAGAGTTAGTTCACTGTGGCGACCCCTGAAGGGAGCAGCCAAAACAACAACAATTATAATGATTATTGTTTTTTTTAAAAAGGTAATGCACAACTCATGCAAGGAAACTGAGAATGCAGCGAACGTCACATGAAGCTGCTCAAAAACTACGAACTAGTGAAACCTTGGATTCAGCAAAAAGATGACACGGGTTCCTAAAAGATTTAATTATTTGTGTCTTCAGTTGAAAAAAAAAAAAGATCAAAAGCCTCAATAAAAGGAAAGGTGACATTACACGAGCGTAAACATGTCCATTCTTCGATCTTGCAGCTTTAATTTTCCCCCAATACAACAAAGTTAGCCGCAAAGTCACGAAAACCTTCATTCTTCTCTAGAAATTGAGGTTTGTGGAATCAGCAGACCCCATCTGCTTCAAAAATCTTCCAAGTAAAAGCTCGTGTTTACTCATCCATTTGCTGACGATTTTCAGAACAAAGCCCAGATTTTATGTTACATGACCAGAGGATGGTAAAGAGCTGCCGTGTCGGCTTCATCGTTATCTGAGTTTTGTCACATTTAAAAAAAGTCAGTGCCGAGACAGAAAAGGTCCCCACACATGCACAGCAGACCAGATGGTTCGGTTTAATGTGCGCACAAGCATCGGACATCCAACCCCGTCTGGTTAGTTGGTGAGCGACTCACCAAGTTGTGGATGACGTTGGTCAGAGTCCACACCACGGGAACGCTGAAGAAGGGGATGCTGAGGAGCACGATGTGAAGAACCCCGACGCCGAGGGCATAGGTCAGCCAGATCCCCCGGCTGTTCATCACCCGGGTGTTTGGGTTCACCTCACTGTGTGCCACACCCACGTTCATGCTGGTCTGTGGGCAGAAAAAACACTTCATTAGTACCAACACAGATGCAATTCATCCAATTTGTTATCCTTCGGAGCTTCAACATGTTGCAGCAGTTGCAATTTGACAAACCGTGAAGCTTGTTTTATAAGGGTTTAATAAATAAACCATCAAGCTGCTGTAGCCCTTTGCCCCTTTTCTGTCAGCCCACATGTGATAACACAACTTGTGCAATATTGTTGAACTTTGTCGTCTGGCACACTTGCAGCTGCCAGACTGGATTACAAAACAAAGATAAAATGTTTTAACTGTTGGGAGTATTTAGGTCACTTTAAAAGCATAAAGCTAACTCATTTGAAAGCATTTGTCTAATATAGGCATTTGTTTAAATGCAACTGCAACAAATCTGCCAGAAAGTTCATTTGAAAACAAAAAAACTACTTGTAAACAAACCAGGCTATTCAAAACACAATGGCTCCGTCTATTTGCTTGATGATTTTGTGATATCCCACAACACCACGAGTAAAAGAAAACAAGCTAATAAATAAAGTTAAACTAATTATTTAACTCGCAAAGCTCGGCTTAGATGTAACCTGCATCAGTCCTGCAGCCTTTCATTTTCATAATGTGTCCCAATTTCTTTTGTTTTCACTACATAGCCGGGGCCCATCCACCAATATCTCTCAGATAGATTAGTTAGCGGCATAAATAACAAATATTAAGTAACGTTAAGATAAAAAAAGGCATAAACAGCATGCTGTAAACTTACATGTAACGGCGAGCAGTAGCAGGTTTTTATATAAACAACTATGGCGAGAATTGGTTCGTCCTCTTGTTGTTGTGACTGCGCAGTGACTCTGGCGGAAGTAGACGTCGGGGTGAAACGGCTGAATATAAACACCCTCGAAATAGCCCCGCCCTCCCTCTGTCGTTAAACGAACACGATTTAATGTTATCAGATTACATCAGAAATGTTTAATATTATGACTTAAATGTGGCCTAATTTGTACAGCTTTATGCGAACCCGAAGATCGATTCCTACTAAACACGACCCGACCGAACGCTACCTGTCAGATTTATTTTCAGCGTAGAATGTTCCCGGAAGTTCTAACTCTCTGTCCCCGCCCTTTTAATAATTCCTACCAATCAGCGTGCAGCACGGGGGGCGGGAAAGAGCACATTTCCGGATGCGGCTGTTAAAATTGTAAACAGCTTTAGGAGGACGCAGAGTGCTATATAAAGACAGTAAGTGGTTAACTTTGTTCGTTTTTAAGGGGTCAATACATGAGTGTGACTCTTAAGATAAATTTACACAAATATTCAAATGTAATTGTCAACTAACGAGTCCATGAACCCCCCAAATATACAATAGTTAGATGATAACATTTTAACGACTTAAAGTCGGTTTTATAGGACTTGACGGTCTCCCTGTCATTTTGGTTTGGGTAAATAGTCTTGGACTAAAATGTAGAACTTATCCACTATTCCTTATAACTATTCCAAGCCTGGTAACCAGCTATTTCAATTTCATGTTGTGTAGTTTATAAAAAAAACTGTCAAAGCTACCGAATAAAAACAGACTTTTTGTGGTTTCAGGAGTCATGAAGCAGCTGCCATCAGACACTGTGCGGCTGCTGTCCAGCTCCCAGGTCATCACTTCCGTTGGGAATGTTGTGAAAGAACTTCTGGAAAACTCCCTGGATGCTGGAGCTTCAAGCATCGACGTGAAGCTGGTACGATACAGATGATCTGTTTCTTTGTGCCGACAACAAAGTAAACTTCCTGTAGCTTCAGTCACCAGCTGTATGTCTTGAATTTCACACTGAAGGAGAACTTTGGCTTGGACCGGATAGAGGTACGGGACAACGGTGATGGAATCAAAGCTGCAGACGCTCCTGTGATGGCTGTCAGACATTTCACCTCAAAGATCTGCAGCCACGAAGATCTGGAGCGTCTGGAAACGTATGGCTTCAGGGGGGAAGCGCTCGGATCCATCTGCGCCATTGCTGAGGTGAAAACTATTAAAACGCCAAAGCTATTCGTACTGGTTTCCCCTATTTGGACAAATGGCTAATGATATTCTCCAGGTTATAAAATAAGTGTACTTATATTTCCATCAAATTTCATGGTCATAATTTTTTTTTCTAACGAAATAGAAAGCTGTGTGTGAAAAGCTATGTCCATCCCATAGTTTGGTCCAAGCTTCAGCTCAGCTGTCTGATACATGGTCTCACATTTGATTCAAGAAACCTTTTGTCCACAGAGGAGTTTGTGTTCAACTCAGTGACTGTATTTTTGTACATTTAAGGTTAAGTTTGAATAATTTTAGAGCCTGGTAAAGCCTTGGAGCCCTGTGAACAAAGACGTGTGAATTTCCTGATGTCTGCATCACTGGAACCCTATGACGTCTCTGTGTTAGGCGATCCTCGAATAGAGACTTGTATTGCCACGTTTTCTGGCGCCATTTCTCTCTGTCTGCAGTGCTCTTGTACTAGTTATGGTCAAAACCATACTCTTATTTAGTCGACAACTTGATCTTGTTCCTTCAGCTAGCTCCCAAAAAAAATTGCTTTGGTATTTGGCCATCATCCATTAACGTAAATCTGATGAAGCTTCAGAGGCGTCTGTTAGCGCCTAACTAATGGAGGCACCAGCCTGCAGTCCTTCACAGAAGCTTCTGATGATGTTTGCTTGGATGCTATGCCTATAACTGAAACATGCCGGTTCTTATGACCAGAAAAATATCCAGGTGACTGTATAACCGTGCGTCCATTTCTTTTGTACATCCCAGCAATCTTAAACCGAGCACACATGAGTAAGAGTCAGAGAGGTTTTAACTGTCATTTCAGATTTAAAGATTCTAATCTAAACATTTCAAATAATTAAAGAGACAAGACTAGAGACGCGTGTTGATTAGTATGTGTAGGTGGTACAGAGACGCCTCCGATGACACGTTTCAGTTTCGTAGACATGAATAAGCGTCGCACAAGTGATTTTTGTCTCCGCGCAGTCAAAAATAACATCTACATGCAGCAAAATGGAGAATTTCACACAATGCGAGTTAGAGATGCTCCTAAATAATGTAACGGAGCATGTTTGGCACACCGTCCTCTGGCATCAGCGCCAAGCTCAAGAGATGTGATGGTGTGAAGCCAGAGCCGTGCACGCCTGCAGAGGTTACTAAAAAATGGTCAGACATTATTGATACATCTGAGCTTTTGCATGGAAAAGGACAAGCGTGAGGCCCCAAGGTCCCATGGCTGCAAAACAAGCCCAAATCATCACCCCTCCTCCTCTGTGCTTCACAGTTTGTGTAGGATGTTTGTTATTTTTTTACTTGGTGTTCGTGCTGTTTCCCTCCAGGTGGCTGTTACCACAAAGACAGAGGAGGATGACGTCAGCACCCAGTACACACTGGACTTTACAGGAGGCATCGTTTCACAGAAGCCGTCTCATTTAGGGCAAGGCGAGTGTCCGATCATTTTTTAAGTCCAATACTGAGCAACAAAACGAGAAACTGTTTTTAATAAAATATAAATGCTTTGCTAGCAAAACCTAGCTTTAAATCTGAAAAAACATTTTTTTTTATTGTTTAATATTAAACTATTCAGACTATCAGATTGTAAGAGCAAGTTAATAGTTACAATTTGTAGTTAAAAGAAAAAGGTATGTTTTTTTTTAGAACAGGGTCAAAACATTGCAGGGAAACATTTACGTGTCAGAACCTCTTTGACGTCTCGCCGTTGTTTTCCAGGTACAACGGTGAGCGTGATGAAGCTTTTCAAGAACCTTCCTGTAAGACGGCAGTACTACTCCTCTACAAGGAGGTGCAAGGAGGAACTGAGGAAGGTGCAGGACCTGCTGATGGCCTACGCCGTCATAAAACCGGAGCTCAGACTAACGCTGGTTCATAATAAGGTCAGTAAGTCAGTCTTGGACACAGCTGCTTGCTCTGACTCCGATATTTTACTGCAGATCGTATGAAGTTGAGATATTTCAGGTTTCGTCTCGACAGCTTTGTTTCAGGCTGCGTCTTGTTCCAGTAAAAGTTGCTTCAGGTTCTGTTTTCCACACTTTATGTCGGTTCTGATCCTGACTCTTAAAGATGTTCTGACGACGAGGAGTTTGAGCGATGAAGAGTTTCAGGTTTGACTTTCTCTTCAGGTGTCCAACAGTTTGTGGTCGTCCTCGTCACATGTTTGGGTTTTCTGTTTGAGGGAAAGATCAGGACTCCAAGTGGGCCCGTCCAGAACCTGTCCCTTTCTCTTCCTCAACCTTTGGATCGTGAGCCGAATGTGGCTTTACCGTAGTCCCTCTTTTATCGTGGGGGATCCGTACCCTGAAGCCCCGCAATAAATGAAAAACCGCGAAGTAGGCATAGTAGTACAAGTAGTAAGTAGTAGTTTATTTTATTATTTATATACATATATATATATTAAGGCGTTTTAAACCCTTCCCACACTCTTGCAATCGTCTAAACAATGTTTCTAAACTCTAAACACTCTAAAAGAGCACAGAATGTCATGATTTCCCTCTCTCTGCCTCGACTGCTCTCAGCTACCTGCAAGCATTCTTGGCCACGCCCACTTCTCCGCTCTGCACGGAGAACAGCTGATCAGCTGCAGCAGGACGCTTATCCTGCAGTATGGACTGCACAGAGGTGCAGGAGGAAGCTTTTTCTGCAGCTGTCGGTTGCAGAAAGGTGCAGCAGGTGTCAAATAATTTAAAATAATTTATTTTAAATAAAAATATCATGCCGACGTGCGGCTCATCCATCATTCAGCCGATTGTGTGTCATGTCCAATCTTATTCTGAAAAACCGCGATAGACGAACCGCAAAGTAGCGAGGGACTACCGTATATCGTTTTAGTGCAAAATGCTCAAACGTCCCACAAAAAGATGTGGTCCTTGAAGGCATCAGATGTTGCTGCTGCCATCAGAACCCTGGTTCAAGCCCAGAACCATTACAGAACCAGGCTTTTGGTCTTTTTGCTCCATTTTGTTCCAACAAGAATGTGGAATCCTGATCCAGGATTAAATGCGTTACGGTCAAACTGAAGGTCCCCTGGACATCTCTGACCCTCAGAGACTTGGACCTTTCATGGATTTGTAGGATGGACCAAATCAAACCTTTTATTAGCTGCAAACAACCCCCGTTCCAATTTTTTGCCTGAATGAAAGTATAAACGAGGTGAAGACGAAGCATAAACTATCTCAGGTCCAGAGTGTCTGCAGTAGAATAGTATTATTTGTACATTTACCATCTTTTTATTTTTACAGAGTTTTACTGTTTTAAACCCTTTTTATGCTCAAACGAGGTGCTGTATACTGTTTGACCACTAGGTGTCCTCGTTACATTTCTCATGGTTGTTCCAAGCTTGGCTGAAAATCGACATCAGTTTTAATAAAATACATGTACCTAGTACATCTACAGCAGTCATGTTGCAAGAGCACAGACTGTGGAGTCAGACCTCTACAGAATGAAATTTTATCACTCAGACCGCTACTTTAAATCAGGTTTCATATCTTTAACTAAAAATAAATCAGTCAGTTTGATATATAAACATTACTGAGAAAAATAGATTCTGTGAGAAGCAGTGATCCTCAGTCCTCTGTTTAGCATCATTTCATTAACTCTGCCCAAGCTTAAGCTCCGTCTGCTAGTATAACTAAGAAATACTTCCTATAAAATTAGCTGGATTATTAGAATAATATTTTATCGCAGAATCTGAAGAACAAGCAGAAACTATCTGCTCAGTTCTGCAGCATTGTCCTTTAATTGATGTACCGACTGTACATGTATTGCTTATAAATACTGATGCGTTGGTGCTTTAATATTAGAGTAAAATAGTCAAGCAGGACGTCTTGTTTTCACTATTCAGTCTTAATTAGCAAAAATATTCAGTAACAAACAAAATAAAAAGGTTTTTAAAAGCCTGCAAACTCATCATTTGTTTAAGTTTTTCTGGCACAAGTTTGAATCCAAATGAAAGGTTTGCGTGACATCGACTGAGTTTGGATCCAGATTTGCAAACAGACGATCTCGTTTTGAAAATTATGAATCGAGCCCTTTGATGAGAGCAGAACCGCTCTCCAGTTTCCTGCTGTTTCCTTCCTAATGTGAGTCGCTGACCCATGAGTCTGTTTTTATACCCATTTGCCTCCTGGAAACAGCTAAAAAACTCCCAGGAAGGAGAAATGAACTGTCGGTGGGTTTGAGCACATCCGCCTTATACCTGCCGCAGAAATCGGTTCTGAGATGGTGGCGGGGCCCAGTTCGTGCAATCAGCTGTCAGTTGGTCGTATCCTTCACCTCCTGCTCCACTTTCTGCCCCGTGTCATGTTTCACAGCTTCTTCAGGAACTGTTTGCACCACCGATCTCGCTTCTGCCAAACCGAGCACTTGTTATCAGGCGTGTGCTTCAACAGTTTCTGAAGAAACCAACCCCTGACATCTGCTGTATGCTTACCAGTACCACGAAAGCTGGGCTTGGAGGGTGGTTTAGATTTTTATGAGCTGTCCAGAAGCTCCAACGCGTCCTAATTCTGTTTCTGCTTTGAGTTGTTTGTTTTTTAAAGACCTGTAATGATTTTTACACGTCACGGTTTAACAATTTTTTTACCAAAGCTTGATGGTTAACATGTCCTTAAGTTAAAAATTTTAGAGATGCACGATATTGGATTTTTGGCCGATATCCGATATATCAATGTATTAAAACTTATTTGGCCGATAACTGATACCAATATCGATATTTCCCCCCTAGACTTACTTACAGATGCTACATAGCTTTCTCTGCTGTAGAATTAAAATACATTATTCTGCTTGGTCTTTATCAGTTTGGTGTGCGACCAAATGAAGATGCCAAAAAGGGTCTGAAAATGATGTAACGCTTCAACTTGGATTATGTTTAATGTCAAATTTATTAATGACATTTACTCTCTAACTCAATGACAACACTCGAACAGTGCAAATTTGTCAATTTTCACAAATCTTAACTCAACTTGTTCACAAGTGAAAAGTGCATAAGTAGTAGTGCATTAATAGATAAACTTGACAGTTTCTTAATTTAAAAAGTAACTTAAAACGGAAGCCTTTTATATCGGTGAGTTTTTTTGATGGAATGGCCGATATTTAACTTTATCGCTGATATCAGCCGATACCAATACCATGCCGATAATATCGTGCATCCCTAAAAAATTTGTAAGCAAAATGCGCTGCCAATTACCACGTGTGTTTGTTTACCTACGGAAACAGCTGAAGTGACTGATAATACGTGAACAATGACTTCATCCAGGGAAGTTTGGTATGAAGATGTCCAACAATTTTGATGTACTTCTTCGTATTTACGCTCACGTTTGTTTAGTAAATTATGAAAATCAAAGTGCTTTGTTTACAGCCTCGTTTCGGTTTGTTTATATCCTTTAAAAGCCTTAAAGTGTACAAACTCTAGCTGTTTTGGGTCAGGTGTTTCTGTGTCATGTTGACGACTCACGGAGGACTTTTATTCTTCCAGGTGGTCGTTTGGCAGAAAGCTAAGATGGCCGACGTCAGGAGCGCCCTCCTCGCCGTGCTGGGGTCCAGTTCTGTGGCTCACCTGCTCCCGTGTCACCAGTGCCAGGAGCAGCCAGAGGTGACGTAAAGTGATGCTTTTAAAAGCAGGGTTGTGATGATGAGTAGTCAGTATCTAACCTGCAGCAGACAGCAGCTGGCGTGGAGAATCAGGACAAGTTTCTGATGATACAAGCTAAACGACTTGCAGATAAAGAGTGTGTTTAGTTTGTTTTGTTTATTTGGTCATCTATAACAATGTTTCTGGGTGGTATTCAAATATGGCTTCTTCTTTTGTGAGATAGAGCTTTAACCAGCATTTGTGGTTGAAGCTCTCTCATGTAGATGACGGGATATTCAAAGTCTTCCCAATTACGTGTTGAGGAACATTATTCTGAAATTGTTCTATTTTTAGACAGAGTTTCCACAGAACCCCTGCCCATCTTTACTTCTAAAATGTTCTTTTTACACCCAGAATTAGTTAATTAACCTAATTAGTTACAAAATGCTCCTCTAGCTGTTTTTTTTTTTTTTACTAGTACCACTGACTTACAGCCTTTTGTTGCTCCTGAAACAACTATTTTGAGATGTGTTACTGCCATCAAATTCCAAATTTACTTTATTTTTCCTCCCAAAAAATGTACAATTTATTAGTTTTAACGTTTGATATGTTTACTTTGCTCCACTGTGAACAGAAAAATTATATTATGACTTTGCAAATCAATGAATTCTGCTTTTATTTGCAACATCCCATTATTTTTGGAATTGGGCTTGTTGTAGGGAGGTTTAACTACGAATGCATTTCCACAAAGAGGACTTTTTTTTTTTGTCTTAACCATTTGATCATTTCGGTGTCGAAGTTTACCACTTTGTTAAAAACTTGGACATTTTTAAACTGCTGACTCAACATAAACTCAATCTACTGCTCTTAAAGTCCATCATGACCCCGAGCTTGTCAGATATTATAGAAGGTTGTTCATAGGGATGCACAATATTATCAGCATGGTATCGGTATCAGCCGATATTAGCGATAAAATTAAATATTGGACATCAGCCATTCCAGTTTTAACATATCAACATATAGAATATCAGCCATAGATCCAATATCGTGCACCCCTAGTTGATCATGTTTGTAGGTTTTTCCACGTGAATTTGTCTCGTTATTAGCTGCAGCGTGCGCCGGCTGTGTTGGTTTTTAGAAGAGCCGCAGTTTCTGGTCAGGCCACATGCGCTTCGCCTCATTTCTGCTCATTAAGGGCACTTTATGAGGGTTAGAGTGGCACCTCTGGCCCCCAAAGGTCCTCGGCTGTGTGCTGGCTCTCGGTGCAACAGTTCCCGCGGATCGGTGGGCTTTGTTCTCGGAGAGACGGAGGAGAAAAATTCTGTTTGATTACAGGGAGTAAAAGGCCAAAGGGCGTTCTCGTAACTGGGCACTGATCAGCAAAATAACAACAGCAACGGCGAAAATGAGAGAGCAACAAGGTGGAAAGAGCTGCTCTACATCTGTTAGATGAGATTATCTGGGAGGAGGACAGCAGGTAGGAGCCACATGACACCTACCGTGACCACGCAGAAAGTCGCAGCTCGGCGGTAATTCGATTACCTTCGGCACAGCGAAGCTTAGCTAACAAAAATCACTCCTCATCAGGAAGGAACTCGGGAGAAAAGGGCACAGAAATAGTTGGCCTGCCACCAGCTGACCACATTCTCTGGCCGGAGCCCAGGCGTCCACGATCGGGTGCTTGGCTCGCAGTCAAACGTTAACGTGCGAGCTCAGATTAACTCTGCAGAAATGATCCATCAGATCCTGGGATTAGGAACGGGACTGTTTAGATTAAAAGCAACGCCAACAAGTCAGTCTCCAGACACAAGTTCTAATATTTCACTTGAAGGTGAAACAAAAACAAGAAAACCTGCAGTTTTCCTCGTGTTTTTTGATGCTTGGGGATTAAAATTTGACATTTGTCATCCTAGAAAGTTCAGTGTGCAGGTTCTAATGAGATGCAGCAACATAAACACTTAATTAACCCCAAACTACCCTGAACCCCCTCAGGAACACGGTGCTGCAACGTGGTGGAGAGGCACGTTAATCCAGCCCTCCTTTCTTTGTATGTTTTCCTCCCTGGTGACTTTAAACAACAGTTTTTAAGACTCTGAAGATTGTTACGTTTTCTTTTTTGATCCAGATTGACTTGGACGGCTTCTTTCCGAAGCCCGGAGCTGATTTCTTCTGTACAAGCTCATCCACTCCTGAGAAAACGCTCGTATTTGTCAATAACCGACCCGTCCAGCAGAAGGAAATCGTTAAGGTGAGTTAATTTTAACGTTCTAACCCAGAGGTCTGAAACCTTTTTGATCAAAGGAGCCGTTTCTTTCCCTTTGCTCACTAAATAAAACGTGTCTGGAGCCACAAAACGTGCTACAACTGTGATTATCAACTGATGGCCCATGGGCCGCTGAGTTTGTTGGAGGGTGGCTTTTCTGGCCAGTGGGGGTGACATTATAAAACTAAAATGATATCATGAATCTTAACATTTATTGATATTATTACATCTTAAGACAAAAAAAGACCACATCGTGTAAACCAACAAAGTCCATGCTCAATAATCCAGGTATGCAATCCAACAATTTTCAGTCAGTTCATCTGGACAGTTTCTTTTTTTTGTTCTGAAACGTTTCACCTTCCATCCAGAAGGCTTCATCAGTCAAGGAAACACACAATACAAAACTGATTCGTCCCCCAAACAGCTTACTCCAAAGTGGAACAAACCATTTATGTTGGTGCTAAGATGGTCGAAACCGAAAGAAACTTACTACGTACGTCAAAAATTTCCAGCGGGATCAGTAAAGTTCTTCTCTTACTAGTAGTCATGGGGTAATATTTTAGAAAAATTTGACAATTAAACAGCCAAAACTATTTTTTTCAGCTGTGAGTATAAAAATCAATTAACTTCATTAAGTTTTGGTCAAAGAGCCGCAGATGAGTTACTAACGAGCCGCAGGTGGCCCCAGAGCCGCAGGTTGCAGACCCTAACCAGATGTATTCTCTCTAACCCTGCCGTGTTTTCTCCATGTCTGATCAGCTGCTGCGTCAGCGTTACTCGGCTCAGTATTCAGACGACACGTCCCGACATCGATATCCCATCGTCCTCCTCAAAGTCACCGTCCCTCCGTCTTCGGTGGACGTAAACCTGACTCCGGACAAAACGCAGGTCCTTCTTCACAACAAGGTATCCGACTAAATCGCACTTGATCAGGTTTGGGTTGAGTTGATCACATTTGTTAACCCTCTGACCTCTGTGTGACCTTCAGGAGGCTGTTTTGACTGCAGTCGAGGCTCTGCTGGTGTCTCTTTATGGCTTCCGGTCCGGTTCTGACCCTCCAGCTGAGGAGACGTCTCCATCCAGTCCTGTCCAGGCTGCCGCCACAAACCGAACTGACAGCGGTCTCACGGAGACGTCTCACTCCGCAGGAAGTGCTGACGTTTCTCTGGAGGCCTCAAACTGCAGCTCGTCTTCTTCTGTAGCTGACGACTGGATCGTCGCTCGGAGTCCAGCTGAGCTGCAGCCGGACCTTCCTCTTCACGACCACGAAGCGACCACAGAAACCGCTTCCGAACGGCTCCAAGGCGCTGACGTCTCAGCTGCAGAAACGAGGATGAAACGGATATCAGCTGAAGACTGGAGTCGAGGCACAGCTCTGACCGACCCCACATCAGGAGAACCCCTGCAGCCCGTCCAGATCCACCAACCCTCAAAGCGGTCAGACGAGTCCAGAAGCCCGGGTAAGAAGACGCTCAACGCCATCACGGAGAAACGAGCGGCTCTGATGGCCTACGACATGATCAGCAACCGCACCACAAGGGCGCCGCTGTCACCCGCCGCCCTGTTCGAGAAGGAGACCCGAGCCGAGGTCCTGAAGGAGAACCCTGCCGTGGGCCTGCAGGACATCAGCGTCGCCGTCCAGGAGCGGTGGAAAAACCTGAAGGAGGAGGACAGAAAGAAGTGAGTTTCCAGACGTTTACCTGTTTCTGAGCTGCTGTTTCCATCCGATGTTTACAAAGGATCGGAGAGGGGGGATGTCAGACCCGTAAAACGTTTAGAAACGACGATCTGGGAATTTAATTGATCCTAATTTCCAGTCAGCTGTGCCTGTAAAATGTTGTCTAGCCAGAGGAGTCCCGTCTTGTTTTCCTCTGTTTTGACAGATGCTGTTTAACACAAATTAACCCTTGGTTCAAACCTAGGTTGGCAAATAATATGTTTGCATGTCTTCTTTAGTCTGTTAGCAAAATATCTCAATAATCAGTTCGAAGACCTCAGTAAAACTCTGAGAGTAATTTTTAAACATTACAGAAACAAACATGTTTATCTTCTCATCGCAGAAGGAAAACCCCACAAAGTTCTCTTGAAATTGACAAATGTAACTAGAGAAATTGCATTTCCTGCAAAAATGCAGTGTGTTTGTTGCAGAAAAAACTTGCTGAAAAACAGCTAAAATTAGCTAAAAAAACATACTATAATGTAGCTGAAATGGAAGAACAAGCCTTAATTAGTAGAAGAATGCAGAAAGAACACATATTTTCTGAATTAGGTTTAAATAAGAAGAAATGAACACAAAATATAGGAATTTAGCTAAAATAAGATGAAATTAGAAAAAAAATTTAGCCAAAAAGGCAGAAAGAAGCATAATCTACCAGAAGGAAGTGGAAAGAGCTGAAATGAGCTAAAAAATGTGGAATTAGGCTGAAAAGGCTAAAAATGAACATAAAACAGCTTAAATATTATCTGAATTAGCAGCAAAAGCTGAAACTAGCAGAAAAAAGTTGAAAGCTGAAATTAGCATAAATAAGTTAATTAGGCTGAAAGTAGCAGAAATTACCACAAAAACTTGAATTTATATGAAAACAGCTGAAATTAGCTTAAAACATAGCTGAAAAGGTAGAACAAGTTTAAATTAGCAGAAAAAAAGTAGAAAGAACGTGTTTGCTGAAAGAAGCAGGAATGAGCACAAAAAGTAGAAATTATCTGAAAAAAGCTGAAATTAGAAGAAAAAAACAGCTGAAATGTAACTAAAAAGGCAGAAAGAAGCTTAAATTACAAGAAGGAATTGGAGAGAACACATTTTTGCTGAATTAGGCTGAAAAAGTTGAAATTAGTGGAAAAAAAAAGTGGAATTAGCTGATAAAGCTTAAATTAGCATAAACCAGCTACGGGTATAGCAGCTGAAAGAGTAGAAAAAGCTGAAACTTGCATAAATAAGCTGAAAGGCGCATAACAAGCTGAAATTAGCAGAAAGAAGTTAGACAAAGCACTGATGTAGTTCGTTGAAAGAATCTGAAAGGATCATAAAACAGCTGAAATTAGCTGAAAGTAGCTGAAAAAAAAAAGTTTAAATTTGCACAAGGAAGCTGAAAGAAGCTGAAGCAGAACAAAATGTGGAAGGAGCAGTAAAAGGTTGTAAAAAGATTTGAAGAATGTAAAATGAGCTCAATTCATTTTCTAAGAGAGAAAAATGGCAAAAAAAAAAAGGCTAAATATTTCAAAAAGCTAAAGTAGCACCAAAAGTCATAGCAGGATTGTCCGGAAAGAGCTGAACGTTTTGATTTGTTGAAATAACTTGAAAACTGCAGGACGAGAATCACGCCGACAAAAGTACGGAAGAAAAATGGATCACAAAGTGTGAACGCTTCATAAACATTCAAACAATAAAAAAAACTAAATATCAGCTAAAATAAATCAGTGAATGCTTCTGAATTAGAATTTGAAGCTGTGAGCGGGGCTGATTCTACAGTTACAGATGTATGAACTTCATAAACTGCTCAGATTAGACAAAAGGCTTTTGTGCGACGCGCTCGTATGAACGCCTGGCAACGCTACAATCCCAGCTTTAGCACGACCTGTCAGGCTGAAGCTGATCTGTGTTCAGCTGTGATTTAATGTAGTTTGTCTCGGAGGAAGACCGTTTCCTCTTAAAATCAGCTGCAGAGAAACTAGATCTGGAGTCGGGTTCTACCGGACGACTTTGGCGCTGGACTCCTGTCACAAATGGTATTACACTCAAACTTTACAAAATCACATCAGCTTTCAAAGAAACGCGTCTTCTTGTGCAAAGTCTTTACTCTTTTTAAATAAAAGAACGCTGAAATGGCTGCTGAGTATTAATTTAATTTTAAAAACTTTTTGTTTTTTGGTTACTGCAGGTACGAAGAGAGAGCACAAAGAAGCCTGGAACGCTACGACCAAAGGGCCAAGCTGGCCTCAGCTACGGGCCCCAAAGAGCCAGCTGAGACCTCGAGGACCAGAGTCCAGGGACAGAAGCGTAAGGTCCCTCCGTCCAACCAGCAGCTGCTGGACGAGCTCTTCTCTGCCCAGCGCCAGAAGAAGACCAAGACTCCTCCGGCGAAGACTTCCCGGCCCCTCCCATGCAGCGTGGCGGCCCTTCGCCTCCAGCTTCGGCGCCTCTCGTCCCAGCAGGGTGCCGCAGCGCCGCGGGGCCTCCGCCTTATAAACCGGCTGGGCTCTCAGAGCGCCTGGCTCGTTTTATGCGGACGGAGGCTCATGATGTTAAACCCATTTCGAGTGGAAGAAGCCTTGCTGGCGAAGAGACTGCTAGAGAATAACATTCTGCCCGCAGTGAGTCTGCAGAACCCACTCCAGTTGACAGCTGGGTAAGGTATCCCTCAGGGCTCTGTATCAAACCCGACTTGTTGTGTTCCTGAAGGGAAAAAAAGCTGCACTCGTTCAGTTTTCATAGATTTGCACATTCAGAATACATTTAAAGGCTCGTCAAATAAAAGGAGAAACATTATTTACTGTTATAGTTGTGACGTTTCATAAAATGTAAATAAAAACAAAATGCAATGATTTGCAAATCTCAGAAACCCATATTTTATTTACAACTGAACATAGTGTTGAAACTACGCTATTCTACGATTATTTAAAAAGAGAAAGAATCGTGTTGAATTTTACAGCAGCAACGCGTCTAAATTGGTTCCAGGTCCAGGTTTCCTCTGAAGAACCCCACTCTTCTTCATTTTTATTTTAATTTTTTATTTAACCTTTATTTATCCAGGTGGTCTCAGTGAGTCACGAGGACTCATTTTCAAGAGAGACCTGTTTGAAAACAGATGATGGGGGTTGAGGGCCTTGCTCAGGGGCCCAGAGTGGGGCAAATGAGGGTGGAGGCAGGTGTGGCTGTTTTACCTTTTCCACCCACATTTTGATGTCGGTCCAGGGAGTTGAACCGACAACCATCCAGTCACAGGTCCACCTTCTCTAACCTCTGTTCCACCACTCCCCTAACTCAAGTTCTAACAGACCTGAGACATCCAGGACCTGAGGAGATCAGTTGTTGGAGGTTCTGGAAGACCTGAGAGGAACCAGTTGTTGGAGGTTTGGAGGACCTGAGGGAACCAGTTGTTGGAGGTTTGGAGGACCTTAGGGAACCAGTTGTTGGAGGTTCTGGAGGACCTGAGAGGAACCAGTTGTTGGAGGTTTGGAGGGATTGTTGTCCCATTCTGGTCTGATTGAGTTATTAACAGTCCTGGATGGAACAGATGTTTTAAAACCTGTAGCTACTATTTTGCATGGATTGAATCTTTCCAGATGTGTACGCTGCTCATAACAGAGTTTCTAATGCACCCCCATACCATCAGAGAGGCAGGCTTGTGAACCGTGAGCTGATAACAGACTGGTCCCTCTCCTCCAGGATGTTGTGTTTGTGGTTTCCAAACAGAACCTCAGATTTGGATCCGTCTGACCTCAGAACGGTTCTGGACTTCACCTCAGTCCATCTGAAATGAGCTCTGGTCCAGAGAAGATGGCAGCGATTCTGGATGGTGTTCATATATAACTTCTTGTTTGTCTGATAGAGCTTTAAGCAGCATCTGTTTAAACTGTGTTTACAGACGATGATCTGTGGAAGTGTTGCTGAGCCCAGAACAGAACCAGACCTGGCTTTCCTCTGACCCGCCCTTCTTTTTCTCAGATGTTTTACTTTCTTGGTCTCAACGTTGAATTTGTGGAATAAAATGTGGTTTCATAGTGTTTGTAAATCCTTGCTGTTTGTTTTTGTTTACAATTACCCGCCACATGTTTTTCAGGTTGATGGTTTCTCGCTACAAATGTCCTTTTTCAATATCCTGATGGTTCTTTTTCAATGTTTTCTAGAAATCTTGGAGGATCTGCATATGTTGAGACGTTGTGCAACATGGAGAAACAAAAACCTGATCTGAACGGAGGCGTCGTCTTTTCGGACCCCCGGCTCGTTGCCAACGGATTTAAAATCAAACTGACTGCAGGTACAAACACAAATTCAGGTTTGGATCTTGTTGTGTATCTTTTTTTTCCCCATCCTCTGAACGTTTGTGTTTTTTCTCAAACTATAAAACAATATTTTGTGATAAACTGGGCCCCCCTTCATCCAATCTAATTGTTATTTCTCTGATAATTAACTTGTTTGTTACGTTCTTAATACCAACCGGGTCACGTCGGCTGTATTTTTTAGCTCAGAACAAACCGCGTGCCGTGAAGGTTGCTTGTTTTTGTTGCCAGAGCGCTTCACCTCACTTGACATTGGCTTTGTGCCCGGCAGCGTGGTCTCACGGTAGGTTTGCCACCCCGGTGTGCAGGTGATGAGAACGGTTGCTCTTTAAGAAATTCCTAGAATTTTTCGTTGCCGGTCTCTTCGGCTGCGTGAGGCTGGCTTCTCTTCGGCTCGTGCTGTTTTCCACACACTTTTGAAATAGAAATAAATGAAAATGTCTGTTTGGTTATAAATAAAATATTTGGTTTTCATTGTGTGGATGCAGTCTATGTACTCCAACAGACGTTGCGCTGATTTAACTGTTCGTTTATCAAAACGTTCAATTGATTTTGGAGATGGGTGACTTTTGATTTTTACAACTTTTTTTTTTTTTTTTTTACTTTACGTACATTTTCCCCATAAAAACTAATTCATATTTTTTCTCTTTTAGTCTTTTAAAAACTGTTATTTTTGTAAACTACTTCAGCTCACAGGCAACTTTGTCTTTATAGGCTACTTTAGCTTTTTGCGAACCCTTTGCTACTTTTAGCTTGTAGCTACACTTTTGCTGCTTTTAGCTATAATTTTGCTTTTTTAAGAATTTAGCTAACCTTCTGCTACTTATCTTTGTATCTTACCTTTTGCTACTTTTAACTTTTAGCTATGATTTTACTATATTTGGCTTTTAACAAAATTGTTCTTACTTTTAATTTTTAGCTATTTTTCCTGGTACTTTTAGGTAACTTTTGTCACTTTAGCTTTTAGCTGTGGTTCTGCTATTTTAACTAGCCTTTTGTTACTTGGCTTTTAAGCTTGTCTTTTGCTACTTTTAACTTTTAGCTATGGTTCTTCTACTTTTAGCTAGTTTAGCTTGTAACCAATCTTGCTTTGTTAAGCTTTTAGCTATGATTCCTTTTAAGCTTTTAGCTAACCTTTTGCTACTTATCTTTGTAGCTGGCCTTTTAGTATTTTTAGCTTGTAGCTACAGTTTTGCCGCTTTAAGCTTTTAGCTACGATTTTGCTATTTTAAGCTTTTAGCTAACAGTTTTCTACTTATCTGTTTATCTGTTTTTTTTCTGCTTTTACCTTTTAGCTATTATTCTGCTACTTTAGGATTTTTAGCTAGCCTTTTCTTATTTTTAGATTTGAGCTTTTTTCCTCCTACTGTTGGGTAACCTTTGCTACTTTTAGCTGTGATTCTGCTACTTTAGCTAGCCTTTTGTTACTTAGCTTTTAAGCTGGCCTTTTGCTACTTTTGTTACATCGTTCTTTGATTCCTCCAAACAGCCTTCTCGTGATGGTAGCCGAACAGCTCAATCTTTGTCCCAGACTTGGCTGTTCCTGAACGTCTTCTTCTACTTCCTGTCAAACGTTACATCAATTTATTTTTCTCCTCTCAGAAAATTAAAAAAATATATAAAATATTTCCATTCAACCTGTTTTTGTGCTGTTTAATTCTACGTATGAATTAAAAATATAATGTGGATAATATGCACCACGCTGTAACTGTCTCTGCACCTTCACATGATGAAGATTGAAATTTGTGCATGATTTGCAGCATTTCCTCATAAAAAGAGGAACCATCATTCTTCCACCTTCCTCGACAGCTTCCTTCCAGTCTCCCGGGGCCTCTGTTAGTCATTTAACACTCCATTTGGCCCTCGGATTGTTGCTCTTGGTCAGGGTTTCGGCTGTAAACCACAGTATTTATTTATTATTCTTTCCTGGAGATAGTAGTGGCGTCTAGAGTGTATTAATCCTTGTTTTCTGCTTGTTTTGGCTCGGCCCGATGTCAGACAGACATCTGGAAGTGACAGCGATGGCAGACTGCGTGCCTTTTCTCTGCGTGGAGGACCTCAGGGAGATCCTGACCGCAGTTCTTCACAGGAAGGCCTCCGGCGTTCGAGAGTGCCGTCCGCTCAAAGTCACAAACTACCTACAGGTAAAACAGATGCTACGAACTCAAAATGAGCATTTCATCCCCGTTAACTGGCTTTATTAATGAATGACTCCGCGCTAACAGGCCGAGGCGGTTCGACTGGCCCGACAGCTGCCTACTAATTTACCTCGGAAGGACGTGGAGGAAATCGTTCAACAAATGGACCGGCAGCTCGGTGAGCCCAACCGGACCTGCATCCACGGACGACCGTTTCTCCACCATCTAACTGACATCCCCTCTACAGACCAGGAAGCAAAGGCTCTGTTCAGGCCTTTGGAGTTGTGACAAAAACTCAATCTCGCTTCATTTTCTCTTTACGAGCAATGTCTCTACAAACATGGCTGACATTAACCAGTCAGTTCCCAGTTCGTCCAAATGAGTTAAAATCTAGTAAAAAAAATGTGCGTTGTATTAAAAAAACTACTCCGAGCTCTTATTTTGTGATATTTTGGAGCTTTATCATAATATCTCCTTCAGTGTGTGGGAGGGTGGGGGGGTACTGTGGTGCGTTAGAAGTGCCTAGGACTGGGCTATTCAACTGGTGGCCCGGGGACCCAATCAGGCCCACGGATGAACTCAGTTCAGCCCACCAATTGCTTCACTTTAAAATTAAACTAGATTTTTAACCATAAAACAAACTTACTTAATGACAATAACTGCTGAATGTCTGGCCCCTGAGCTCTTGGCGCTCAGTAATTGTGGCCCCCTGAGAAGTTTAGTTGAATAGCCCTGGCCTAGGACAAGCTAAACTAGTGACTAGATGCAGACGCTAAGAAATGCTGTTAAAATGAATCTCTGATATGATCATTGTTGATGGTGCACGAAGGAAACCTTGCCCCTAGTCTAACCTCGGCGTGAATCTGCTGTGAAGACTGGCCATCCATCCATTACCCACTTCTTCCTTTTCGGGTCGCGGGGTTCACTGGTGCCCATGTCCAACTATCACTGTGTGAGAGGCGGGTGGACAGGTCTCCAGTCCATCACAGGGACACAGAGACAAACGAGACAAACAACTATTCACTCTCTCACTCACACATAGGTGAAAAACCTTTCTGTCTGTAGAACGATGGACTCCAGGTGCTTTGGATTAACCCTTGCAACCCTTCTTAACGCACACCTGTGTGCTCCAGAGCAGCACAGTCTGCTGCTTTTCTAGAAGTGGTCCCACTGATGATGACGCCCCGTTTGATGATGCTTATCTTCCTATTTCCTGTGGGAAAAGGTAAGAATAAACTTATTTTTTTGACTCATTGATTCCAAGTTTTGGCTTAGTTTTTATTATTACATACTCGCTATTCATAAAATTTCTCTTGTCCAGACCATAACTTCTGATCCACTCCTGACAATTTAAAGAAACTTCGTATGGATTGTGTGTCACATACAATTTTAATCAACCTAGCTACAAGGTCATGGTCACAAATTAGGGTCAAAGGTTATAAATATCTTTGCTTATCCAGGTTATTGCTATAGATTGTTGTGTTAGACGGGCGTATAATAGGGTACTGCCTTGAATGGCAGCCACCCTATTATTATCCACCTGACAAGGGTTTCTTAACTTTATATCTTACTCTTCCATCAACTTTAATGCGGCCTGAACCACAACGTGTACCCCCACATATTTTATATCAAAACGACCAGCTCAGCGCCGTGATGTGTGCTATTACTTTTATTGGCGTTTTGAGTTACTATGGCGACGTAATTCGTGAACAAAGATGCCATTTTTCTAATTCAAAACGTCTGACAGAACTCATGCTAAGTTTCTCCAGGAACTTTCTAGTGTTCTGTATATTGTACTCTTGTTAGATATGTTGTGTGCTATGTGTGGTTCATTTTAAGGTTGTATTTACCTAATTTTAAGATTTAATGAGGACCAAATTGTTACTTTATTGTGTCCCTGAAATTGACAAAATGCCATTTGCTGATAAATACTTGGCGTGGCAGCAGAACATCTTCACTTCCTGAGTTGATACAACTTAAGTTTCTCATGTTGGAGGTTTTCGATTTATTTTATCCAGGGGTTCGTCGAGGTTTTTCCTCAAGTCATTTTGCCTTTTCTTGGAAGCAGTGTTTTTTTTTTTTTTTTTTAAACCACAAAGAGACATCTGACTCCTCGTTTTGATTTCTGTCCAAATGTCGGAGCGTTTCGTTCTGCCCGAGCATCATTGTGTCACCTCAGGAACGGGGGATACGCTCTGCCAGCTAGCGCCCATAACTCTTCCACTCAATTAGTGCCAGCCGCTCGGCCTCGAGTATTGACAGATAGTTGTGTTTTATCCCTGGCTGCAGTAAATGCTTAGCAGCTTTGTGCTGTAACTCCAACCACAAAGTTGAACAAACCCTTGACGGTGTGCTGATTTGTAGCTGCGCCGCTTCCTGAATTCATCCGTCCGTCATGCCAACTCTGCGTTTCCAGTGTGGGGAAAGTAATTGGGCTATAAAAATTAAATCATTTGAGCTTTATTTCTTTAAAGCTAAAACTCTTAGAGAAGGCTGTCCTGTCAGCAGGAACGGTGTGAGAGTGATTTGTCCACTTTTGGATGACAGGGATCCATACAGCACGGCAAGGTTTTCACTTATCATCACTACATATGGATACTAAATCCTACCGCAGGGAAAAGCGCAATCTGATCACTCTGCTTATGATAATATTATAGTTGGTGCTGTGAAAGGTCAAACCGCAGCACATGTCTTGTTTTACGTGCTGAGCGAACTCGCAGATGGCCTCAGCATTGCTGCAGGACTCTGCTAAGTGCCTCTGGGAGAGGACTAAATGCCAACGAAGACCCGCGCCCCTTGTTCGACCCCTGTCCCACGTGGACTCTTGTTTTAAAACCTCTCGTCGTTCTGGATACGTGCTCCTCGGAAGTGCGTGCGGCAGCAGAAAACTGCACTGCGTGCGCTGCCTTCAGCATTTACCAGGCACGTTGGAGTAATTGGGGAGGACGATGCGATGATCATCTTTTTACCATGTGACCGTGTAGTTTAAAAGGTCGGCAGCTGGTCGTTTTACCAGCCGTCTTTTCTTCCACCTGTTTGAAAATATTTCCCGCTTTCACGTTGAGCTGTTTGTAATGATTCCCCCCCACCACCACCACCACCACCTTAGGGAAGGTATAAAGGGACATTTGAAATGCATGCAAAGTGTTTGACTTCTTCATTGCACGTACAGCGTCATCAAGATAGTTTTCTGTTCTCCTGTTACTACATTAATGTGCAGAGCCACACGTCGTATTCAGCAGCCAGGGTACTTATACACCGATCTTATAACCCAGAAGTAACCATAGACTTTAACAGAGTCATCAAATTTGAAATAAAATCACATGAACTGTATTTAACACCTTTCTCGCCCTATTTTTGGAACTGTTAGGAGAAGTGCTCGTTCAGAATACCGAGTACCAGGACCACCTGCTTCTGTTTAGAAACCTAAAAAAGATTTTACGTTCTGTTGAGCACCTATTGGCTCCAAATACGTAGATTTAAAACTCGTCTTCAGTGCACAGTTCAAACTTCAGTGCAAATTACAGCCTTAGTTGTTTTTATGTGGTGGTTTTCCCCCACCGTTCAGCAGGGTTTGACGCTTATGAACTTCCTAAACTTGAAAATGAAAAGTGCATCTAATTTGTACTGGGATTGACTTGGTGTACGGAGCTGAGAGCGTTGGGACGCTTCGTCCTTCTCTGACTGAGAATAAACCTGTGAATGCCTGGTGTTTGTCAGTTATTGCTCTTTGACTCGTTCGTATGTTGTCGGCCCCGTCCGCCACAGCACTGAGACGTCCTGTTTGGATGTCAAATCCCGGCACGGACTTCAGTAGACCTCCAAAGGTCAAATCAATCAGTAAGAAATCCTTTAGGTCCTGCATGATGCAAGGTGTGGCCTCCATGGGTCATCTCACAGATACTCGATTGGAAAGAGATCTGGAGAGTTTGGTGGTGAAGTCCTTCATATCATTCCTGGTGTATTTTTGTGGCGTCCGCTGAAAAAGTTCCCTGTTTTAATACGTAAAGGCTGGACTTAGTCAGCAACAGTGTTGAGTTGTTTATGTGTTAACACAAAATCAACAGTACAATGAAATGTTCAAGATGAGAAGAACCGATTCGACTCGCTAAACAAAATACACAAGAAATATTAAAGCTTGCAATAAAGGTACAAAATAAAGAACTAAAAAGGGAAAAAGAAATATAATATTTACAAGGTCCAAAAGAAAAGTATTAAACAACAACATGGTAGAATATAACAGTGCAAGTAGATGAATTAGTATAAACAAGTATTTCACAGGTAGTAATTTAAGCTTAAATGCACATGATGTATATTGCACATAACTAACATATATGTTGTGTGGCAGGTTATTGCACAGGTAGTGAGAAACATTGAGATTAATTGAATTATGATGGTCAGGTAGTGACATACATGATAGAGCCACATCGTGCAGCAGCAATAAACATATTGGGTGTCACAGATGTGGCTTGGTGCAATGTTATTGTCAATTGTTCAGTAGACAGATTGTGGATAATAACAGTCTTCGAGTCTTTTCGTGCACGATGGCAGGCTCCTGTATCGTTTGCCTGAGGGTAGTAGATGGAAAAGTCCCTTGTGCTGGGTGGGTGTGGTCCTTAATGATGCTGTGTGCTTTATGCAGACGTCTGCTGTGGAAGATGTCCTGGATGGTGTGGAGACTGCTACCAGTGATGTCCTCTGCTGTTTGTACCACCCCCTGTAGTGCTTTCCGGCTCTGACTGGTGCAGCTTCCATACCATAAAGTTCCCAGCCCTGGTCCTTGAGGAACACCATCCTGCATGTTTTAGTTGTTTCTCTGCTCCGACACTTGATTTTAATTAATGGGCAATTAACAGGCTTCTGCAGAACTTGACAAAGTAATTAAACCACTGAATCAGATGTGTTGGAGCAGGGAAACAACTAAAGCATGCAAGATGGTGTTCCTCAAGGACCAGGGTTTGGAACCACTGGTTTAGTATGTCAAAGTAACATCCACATGAACAAACCCCTGGTTTCCCAGTAGAACGCTGGTCAAGGCATCATCAACTGTCTTCCCATACTTCATCATAGAACCACGTTTTTTCCAAGTACTGTGACCCACCGGGGGCGTTTTGGGTGTTTGTTAGAAATACGAGCCTCATACGCAAAAAAACTTTGATGCTCTTTGTGTTTTCGAACAACTAATTAGACATTGAGCCTATTCTCTACTGTTACGAAACTTCAGACTTGAGAGGCTGTTTCTAAAAGTTTATTATTTTGGTTTTGTTTGTTTTTCCACCAGTTGACAGCAAGAGGAGAAGCTAACTTCTTGATAGCACTT